ATGATTTGATTCCCTCGAGGAAGAAGTGACTTTGAGTTATCTCAACAAGCTAATAATGACCAAGAGAGTTCTCTCCTCATAACATTGGAAAACATTTAACTTGATATTACTTTAAAAGATTTAACATGGTAAGTCTCATCCTAATATGCATACTAGTTATCAATTGCATTAATCCTATCATGCATACTATCAATCACACAATAAATACATACATCTCATGCATGACTAAAAGACCGATGAATGGTAATGAATTTCTATTATTAGTCCCCTCTAGCCATAAGTCGATTAGTGCATCAAGTACCTAAATGAAAAATTATTATAAATTTTTTGAGATTGTCTTCTCTTCTTGGCTTCTTCTCCTTGCATCTATTATAATATTCTATCTTCTACTTTTATTTTTTTATTTTGGAATAAGAAACCTCGAGTTTCATTTTAGGGGAGTAACATGAGAAAAGAAATACATCAGAATGATAGAGAAGGCAAGACACGTAGGTCCTATTTAATAAAAAATATACAAACATACATTCTTTAAAACTATGTTAACTCATTCATATCATTCACTCATATCAATCACACCGATACCTAGCATACAAATGAAACATATTTTATTTTAATCTTCTTTATGAATCCATACTTTAGTTATTTTATAAAAAAAATATTAAAATTTTTTTAAATTTTAATTTTAAGATTTTTTAGGACTTGAGCCCACTTTGGACCCATGGGCTTTTGGGCCTAGAACGCTTATGGGCTACCACGCCTTAACTGGCTAGTGCTAGCGGCCTACCACCGGGCTAGCGTTGGCACGGCGGCCCATAGGCTAGTGCCTAGCTAGTCCGGCATCCGGCACGTTTGTGCGTCCGGCATGTTGTCTAGTATGCTAACATTGGCTTGGGCATGCCTAGCCTTTGTGCGCCCCCAACACATGCTTAAAGTGCACAAGGCACTCCTGTTACGGCCATAGGCCTAGCAAGCACCCAACACACGCTTGCTACGTCACGTGCATAAAGAGAACCTAGCCTACCCGGCAGGCCTGGCATGAGCAAGGCACGCCTAACTTGTTGCACACCTAGTGTGTGATCGGCTTAGCTAGAAGGCTTAGTGTGCACAAGGCATATCTAGCCTATCACACGTCTAATGTGCGACTAACTCAGTCGGCAAGTGCGCATACGAGCACCAACATCCAACGTTAGCATCGTGTGCACCCACTACACACCTTTCCCAAAATCAATTTTAAATATTTATAAAATACTAAAAATATCAAATTTAAAATCATAAATAAATAATTCATATAATTAATCATAATTAACAAAATATGTAATTAAATATTTAATGGAGGCTCGATACCGATTGAAGGATCATGCATTTTATATAAGTGCAAAATAAATAAATAAACATTTCTCCATCTAAGGCTCCCGGGATCAAGCTATTGAATCAACTAATCATACATACATGAGCTAAAAGTATAAATAAAAGATTACCTCTTGTAGTATAGATTTAGCCTTTACAAAAAAGAGTCGTCTAAGTGTTTGACCTCTATCGATAATCCATATAGCTTAAACACCCATAAAGGAATCCACAAAAATCACAGAGTGCTAGCTCTTTTTCTTCTATATAGTTTATTTTTTAAAGAAATTAGTTAGGGTTTTTAAGATAACTCAAGTTTTTAAATGAAGGATGGGACAACTTTGACTTTTGGGAGAGAAACACTTTCTCTCGTTTTTCTTTCTCCTTTCTTATGTGTGTGTGTCTTGTAATCTTCCTTGCTTTGCTGCCTCTATCCCTATTATTTATATAAGGGCAGCATTTTTGTCCTCCGAGAACAAGGAGTTGCAATGTGTGTGCGCTTGTCCGATCTTATCCTTGTAAACCTTGAGCCTTATCAAATAGGGATCATATTTATCCTCTCATCAAAATATTTTACAAGCTTTTAAATTTAGCCTATTAGCCTAAACTCTTTTGGTCCAATTAATTATCAATTAATTTGGACTATCCAAATAAATTGGATCGGATATTTTTAGGAAGCCCACATTTAAAAACAATTTTTCAAATTAGTAAACTGATTTCTAAAATAGAAAATTTTTTATTTTAGAAAAATTTTCATTTTCGAAACCTTTTTCAAAATAGAAAAATTTCCAAAACTAGAAATCTTTTTCAAAATCTTTGCTTCTCTTTTATTTTATGAATACTTAAACTTATGCATGTGACTCAATAGGCTCTTAGATATATTAACAATATATCAAGAATAAAAGAAACCTCTTATATCTCTTAATACATAAATCAAGATTGACCTCTAGTAAGGCATCATGACTATCCAATTCTCAAAAAGGATTAATTAATCCGTAATTATCTTTCATAAGTATGGTTACCATACAATTCATTCCTTATGTTAATTTATCATAGTGTAATCTCGAACTTAGTTTATAGTTTGTTCGATTATAATCACACAAGTTTTCTTTGATTCTCAAATATCTTAGCTCTAGAGTGAACCAATTATACTCTATTGTTATACTCCTACCGTAGTCATAGATTCCTTGAGCGGATATTTATTGAAAGGCAATGTTATAACTCATTTAGCATACAAGGAATGACATGTCCTCAAAACTAGTCTCAAAATACATGAATCCTCTAATGAGATAACCGTGATGACTTTAAGTCAAAAAACCAATCGTACCCATCTCGTTACGAGATTCTCATAGACTAAACTAAATGGGTACAAGTTACGTCCGATAATATGTTCTCTAACATTAATCACCTCGATGCTTGATTTGACATCATCATGTCAATAGATGTGAGATCTCCTATTACTATCTTATAGCATGAGTATAGCACTCACAAGTCTTACTCCGTATAGTCAATGTCCATTCATGATAATGTTAAGACTTGAGACATTTAATGATATCATTTAAGTACATTAATATTTATCTCGCATCTTTTGATCAATCATTAATGCAATGCATATCATATGGACTTATATCTAATTCCATCAAAATATAAATGACAAGAATTAATAGAAAGACTTCTTTTATTAATAAAATAAAGAATATAATATTATAATAAGTTAAACCATCTAAACAAGGTTGGATTTTAGGCACCTACACTAACATTAGGTGGGATGATAGTAACGATTAGAGGAGGAAATGAGTGGAAGAAGAAAATGCAAAAAGAAGAAAGGGAATTATGATTTAGGGATATAGAATTAGACACGGACGCAATTCGTCATTAATCCGTAGCTAATCGGTAACAAACATAAGTGTTCCTTGCTAATTATCAAAGTCCGCTCAATTTTTTAATATAAGCAACGGACGTTTCATCATTAATTTATGAGGGAAATATTCAATTAGAGATGAAAATTTTATCTCTAACCCCGACCTAGAAAATACTAACAAGATTAAGAGTTCGTCGCTAATTTCTCTCACAATTCCCTTACTAAGTCATCTCTAAAATACTCATAAATATCCTACCATCAAATATAGTGACGGATATAGGTCCCTTGTTGAAAATTCATTATTAATCTGTCGGTATTTTGTAGCTAAGGACCACACCTCGATAATAGTCATAGTTCGTTCGTTAATCCATAGCAAGAGACTACAATTCGTCATTGATTTTCGTCTTTATTTTTCAGTTTTCTTATAGTGATTATGTGCTAATCCATGTTATTTATTTATTTATTTTTGATATGGATCCAAACTACACAATCAATGGATTAGAATATGGATGAGTCTCATCTAATATAAGGCTTTGGGCTGCGCAAGGATTAACACATGTATTCTAATAAGACTAGTGTTGTTAGAATGCATTATGAAGATTGGTTCGATGGGCTTGGAGTAGGGTATATACTAAAAGAATGCCTAATTATTATTTTCTTTAGTCTTTCAAGTTGAAATAATTTAATATTCCAAAGAATCCAATTTTCTTCAATATGAATCTTAACATCTAAACATGGATGACATGGTACAAATGTAGAGATTAAGAATCATCTTTAATTCACTATAACTACCAACCTCACATTATTGTGAGAGGATTCTAACTTTTTAATCATTAGCAAAACCTCTAATTCTCTATCAAACCTCTTACACTCACATACTAGACAATATTTAAAGTTTCCATCTCGTTTAAACTTTGATTTTCATCCGTTCAAACTTTCACTATCCACCTACTTGTCACTCGACTTATGACTTGCTAACTTGTTTGCTTCACCTCCCACTACTTGTATCCATCTATTTTGATTGGTTAACTGTTATTTTTACAAATCAAAATACTAACTTTATGTATCTTGATAGATCTATCTATCAATTATTTAATGAGTTTTTAATAACCCCATAAAATTACAATTAACTTTTTCTCTTGTGTATGATGAGTTCTTACTTATCTTTTAGAGTATTCGTTTTAAGTTTTTTTTTTTTTTAATTCTTATTAATAGTTTTCATATATAAAAAACTTTGTTTCTTGTAGATGGGAATGACTTATGACCTGCCCATACACAATGGATACCAATATCGTATGTATTCTTCTATAGATTTGATTTTAAGATACTCTTACGTCAAAAAATTGTTTTGCGGTTAACAAATATTTCAAACCATAATTAAAAGATTGCAACTGTTAATATGATCAGATATGGTGACAGATGGTCCAATCACAGTTTATATAATTTGGAAGAGAATTCTTCCGCGGACCACAAAGAAAACTGTAGACCCAGGTTAAAACGAGAGAGCAGTTTGAGTACTGCTGATTTTCAGAAGTGGGGGTGTGCCTTCTGCAGGATAGGCCTAAACATAGTACACGTCTATGTCACCTTTGGCCCTCGTTTCGTCATCCATACAATCATCCCATCTTGTCTTTTCTCGTTTAAATCTATGCTTAATATGTACTATACACTCCCTTGGTGTGTGTGTATATATATAGGTATATATATAGGTGGTTCTTGGTCCTAGAAAAGAAGTGCGAGTAAGTTCTAGCCTTGAATTTGAGGACTAGAATCTAGGTTCAGTTAGGAAAAGAGGATGGCTGAGGTTGAAAAGAAGGGCACAAGCTCATATAAGTTATATTGCTGCTTACAATGCTTTCAAGAACCATCATCACCAGAAAAGCACGACAATGTTTCAACATCTGAGAAAAAGAAGCCCGGAGGATGGAGAGCCATGCCTTTTATCTTAGGTTAATTGCTCAACATCTGATTATCATTATCTGTGCAGCTGACTTTTTTTTTTTTTTTTTTTTTATCAGACAAGATGACACTTCTATTAAATAATTTGTTACAGAACAATTGTCTTTTAGCAGAAGGATTCAGATTATCTATTTATGGGATGTTTTGTGTTTTTGCAGGAAATGAGACTTTTGAGAGGTTGGCAACTTTTGGCTTGTTAGCCAACTTTATGGTGTATTTGATGAGAGTTTTTCACTTGGAGCAGGTGTCTGCTGCAAACACTTTAAACATCTGGTCGGGTATTACCAATTTCGCACCCTTGGTTGGTGCATTCATCTCTGATGCCTATGTGGGCAGGTTTAAGACCATTGCTTTTGCATCCTGTGCATCGTTTCTGGTACGTCTCGTTCACCATTTTACAGCACTACTACTTGTACAACCTATGGTGTTCATCTAGTAATTTCTACGTTCTATAATATTAACATGTTCTCATTTAGATTTAGCTTTTGCTTTTGCTTTCATATATGTGGGTGTTGTTTTGAGTTCTACCATCGCCTTTTTTTTATGAAATTACCAGTATAGATAAATAAATAAATAAACAGTATCGTGCATAAATTTCTGGATTTTTTTTTCGAAAAAAAAAAATCTTTTTGGGGAACTATAAATAAGTTTTACGTTTATTTGTATTTTAGTGACTGGCCTTAATTATACCAATATTTGTAAATTCATTTAATGACCAAAGTGTATGATGAAAAATTGTAAAATGTTGAGAAAAATAAAAACTCAACCATTTTTTATTATTATTATTTCCTTTTATGTAAATATTTATATAAAAGTGTTTTTCTTATAAAACTGTTGGTAAATATTTAAGTTTGAGGCTAAAATAACATAAGTTTGATAGATTAACAAACTTGATAAGGAAAATAAATAAGCAAAACTTGATAGATCATTAGATTTAACAAACTTGACAAAGAAAATAAGCAAATACTTGACGCAGCTGGAAACTATATATATTTTAAAAAGCACAAATGATCATCACAGTTCAGTTTTGTACATTATCCCCAAATTTATTTTTGTAGATCGAAGAACTAAAATATACATAACGTAGATAAGAATCAATTGGATTGACCAAAAATCCAACGTTTTCGGTGACAGTAAATAAAATATGAGATCGCTGATGTACATGCCCAGCTGGCTGCATTGAAGCTTGATTGTTAATTACTACTGTGTTTTTTCATAAACATGCCCCCTAAATTATTTGATTAGTATCAATTAGTCCCTAAATATAATATTTGTATATATATATATTTCAGATTATTACGTATGAAAGGTTTATTTTGGTGAATACTGCATTCAGAGCTTGTGATAATTTAATTTAATTTCCAACGTTGGGTTTTTAAAAGACGATATGTTTGTGATTGCATAATTATTAATTGATCATGTCGATAGCCGAATCCATTAATTGTTTGGACGGAGAACAAATCTCACATGCATTATTATTTTTTTTATTAATCACAGATTGACAAATGACAAAGAAAGATTTTAACTAAGAAAGATGGAAAATTAATATATAATAGTGGCCATTTCAGTCAACTCCCTCATACCAACTAAAGATTCAGAAAATCAAGCAATTGAGCAGCTATCAATTTCTTTGTTGTTTACTTGTCCTACTGTCTGAAGTATATGACAAGTATTAATAATAATATTTTTCATCCTTAATTTAGATGCATTTCATTTCATTTCATTTGTTTGTTTTCACATGATAGCGTAAAATTTAATAATGTTCATCAAAATGCATGGGTGATCGCTGGCTGGCTAGGGAATGGTGACTGTGACCATAACAGCATGGTTGCCTTATCTTCATCCTGAAAAATGCGAGCCTGCAGGAAAGCAGCAGTCTTATGGGCATTGTGAAAGTCCTACCAGCATTCAATTGGGTGTTTTGTTTATTGGCCTAGGCTTCTTATCTATAGGCACAGCTGGGATTAGACCATGCAGCATTCCATTTGGTGTGGATCAGTTTGACCCAACGACTGAAGAAGGGAAAAAGGGATTAACAGCTTCTTCAACTGGTATTATACCACCTTCACAGTGGTTATATTGATCACTTTAACCTTAGTGGTGTATATTCAAGACTCTGTTAGCTGGGTTTGGGGTTTTGGAATACCTGCTGTGCTTATGCTCTGCTCCATTATACTTTTCTTTATTGGAACAAGGATTTATGTGCATGTAAAGCCAGAAGGAAGTGTTTTTTCTGGCATCACACAGGTTTTTGTTACAGCTTATAAAAAGAGACGGCTTAAGCTTCCTGACAATTGTGATGGAGAGCAGGTTGATGGGATCTTTTACGATCCTCCAATTAAAGATCAATCAACCATGTTGTCCAAGCTCCCTCTTACCAATAAGTTCAGGTGAGGTGTCTGCTTCTTGGAAGATTTTCTTAATATAAATGCCACTTGTACCCAGCTAGAAATAATGACTTAAAAATCATTATGATTTCGCCACCGCCCCCTTTAAAATCTATTGGAACAGTCATGATTCTTTATCAATTAGTCCCTAAAAATAATATATATATGTCATAAATTTTCACATTGAAATATTTCTTGCTTTGAGTGGATCACCACCTACTCCTCCTCTGTACTATATATGACACGCACGCATATATATATATATATAGCAGCTGCTTCTAGAAAGTAGATAGAAATGGTGGTAGATTTTTTATAGCAGGGGGTCCCAATTCAGTATTGCTTGTCAACGATGCACTAAACGTCATCCAAGACAGTCCGCTTAAGACTATACTGACCGTCAGCCAGCTAGTACGTACTACGTAGAAATAATTGCTGAATTTATTTATTTGTGCGTATGATTGTCAAATGATTTGCTTAGAGAGCTAATTAAATTTTCAAATAAATCATTTTACTCTTGTTAGGTTTCTGAACAAGGCAGCAATGATAGAGAAAAATATGGACCTAAAGCCCGATGGTTCGTGTGCGAAGCAACGGAGACTATGCAGTATCCAACAGATTGAAGAGGTGAAATGCCTGATAAAAATATGTCCAATATGGGCATCAGGTATTGTTAGCTTCACTTCCATGGTACAACAAGGAACATTTACTGTGTCACAAGCCCAGAAAATGGACCGACACCTTGGGGAAAAATTTCAAATCCCAGCTAGTTCCATTATCGTCGTATCAATGATAACAATAGGATTATGGCTCCCATTCTACGACAGAATCCTAGTACCTGCCCTTCGAAAAGTTACAAAACGTGAAGGTGGGATCACACTTCTCCAAAGAATTGGAATTGGGAATGTATTCTCTGCTCTATCCATGGTAGTAGCTGGATTGGTGGAGAGGGAGAGAAGGGCTGCGGCAATTTCATACCCTGAGGCTGCACCCATGTCGGTCTTTTGGCTAGCTCCACAACTTGTGTTAATGGGGTTATGCGAAGCATTCGTCAGTATTGGACAAATTGAACTTTATAACAAGGAGTTTCCTGACAGCATGAGAAGCCTTGGTAACTCTCTTTTCTATTGTTCATTTGCTGGGGCAAGTTACCTTAGTACCTTGGTAACCAGCGTTGTTCATAAAGTTACTGGAACGCGCCACCACCCTGACTGGCTGACAAGTGATCTAAATGCCGGCAAATTGGATTACTTCTACTTCCTTTTGGCAGGAATGGGGGTTCTCAATATGCTTTATTTTTTGCTTTGTGCTCATCGATATCGTTACAAAGTCAGTGCTGTACAATTAACGGAAGACAAATTAATCCCTCTATGAAGTGAATGAGAGGAAAACAACAAGAAGATAAAAAGAGAGATGGTCTGCAGTTACAGCTGTTGTCTTGCCTTTTGATGTGGCATTATACTGTATAATCAATAAGAGTTGGCAGAGGGCATGGCTGCCTGTTCTTGACTATTTATCTGTCTATATATATACATATACAGAATACATAGGTTATTATTGTAACCGAAAGTCGCATGGGCTGCCTTGGAAATCTGAATATGCATTTTCATATTTATTTTACCTCATTTTGGATGCTGTTGTGGTGTTTGCATTTTTCAACAAACAAAAGAAAAACAAACAATACATGTGAAGTTTTGTGAACATTTAATGAATAGAAAACTGGAAGGAGGAAAAAAAAAAAAAAACAAAGCTTATGGCGTGAGTGGGAGTGGTACTGTTAGAGATAGAATTCGATTATTGTTCTTTCAGTTTCATTAAATGAACAAACGGAAAGAGTCTTTGCTTAGAAAAAATATATATTTGTCTTTGTTTATATTTTAGGTTGAAGCAACTTATTATAATTCGTCTCCATTGACCTATTAGTCGATATTTTTCACAAATTTTCATTTTTTTCATTCCTTAATTTGAAATATATATAGAAATTAAGGTTTGTCTTGATTACTTAATAGAAAATATAATTTTCAAAACAGATATATACTTGTACCATGTTGATGTTTAACCTTAGACCCTTGGCTTGGGACACGGTTTCTCCTACACACGATACTATCTAATAAAGACAAGATCCGGGAGGGAGGCCAACTTAGATTCTCAAACTAAACACCATTTAAAAATCCTAGAAAACCTTGGACTTAACTAATTATGAAAAACAAAACACTAAATTGCAAGGAACTAAAGAGATCATTAATTTATTGTTGTTCTCCTTTCTGTAATTATTTTTATTTCCTCTCAAAGTATATATTCCGACCATGGTGTGTTCAAGTTGTATAGTGAGCCTTGATACCCTAAGAAGATTGCCTAAGCTATCCAGGTGGAGAGATATCCCACTTGGAGAAAAGAATGGAACCAGACAATACGTCACCACCAGAGTGGCTGGCATGCTAGTACTTGATTAAGTGATGCCTTGTTTTCTAGCACTCGTCTCTTCTTGCTGTAGCAGCAGTACCAACTCGAGCACGCTGCATGCGTTTTAAGTTGTCGTGGCTTCTTTGCCGTTTTTGACTAAAGGTTCTGTAACCATCATTTTGTGCTTTTATTCTCGTCTCCTACCCTAAGTCGCAGTCCGACGTAAAACTCAAGTGGAATTAGGCTATTGGATTAAAGTCAGAATCAAATCGAATCGAATCGAATGAGAATTTTTGTTTAATTTTAAATAAAAAAATATAAAATAAAATTAAAACTGAAAATCAAAATTATTTTCATTAGGTTTTTTTAAAAAAGAAAATCAATTTTCACCGAAAATAGAATTAATGTTTTTTTTTTTTTACCACACACTCAAGACTCATAATATTTTTTTATATTTTTTTTAATTATTATTTTAATTCAAGCTATTATTATTCTTTAAAAATAAAAATAAAAATTTTAAAAAAGTGACATTTCTGCCGGATCCAAGAGAAAATTCAAAATTCAAAAAAATATATATATATATATATAAAACAGTTTTTATCCTAAAATCAAAAAATCAAATCAAAAATTTTGATTTTTCAACTGAAAAATCAACTTTCAATTCAGTTTGGGTTCGATTTCCACAAAAAAATCAAAATCGAATCCTGACTTTTAAATGGGACAGCTTAATCAATCGTTGTTTAATTAACTGGTCAGTGCATCTACCAGAGACTTTAAGAAATCCAGTCGTTCAATCATAGGAAGTTGGAATTGCAAGCAGTACTGGGAAAAAATAAATATTAGTAGTTTAATAATTAAATCAATGGATGCCGCCAAGAACAAGCTGGCTGTTGACACGTGAGCGGGCAAGGATTTTTTTCACTGTTAATTCATCAAAGAACGGCCGAACTTAGAGAATCTTTATTTATAAAAATAAAATAAATAAAAAATAAAAAACAGTGGTAAGGCTTTAATTAAACAAGATATAGGGACCTTATCATAAAAATATCTGCCATAATTCGGACGCCGGTAGAGACATATGTGTGATTTTATTCCAGAAGACCTTTCATTGATCGGTCAAGAAAGAGAAAAGTAGAAGCGAGCAGTATTTGATTTAACTTTAACTAAAAAATTAACTTTTTTTGTTTGGTTTTAAGCTTAAAATTATTAAAAGAAACAAATCGAATTTATTTTAATATTTCAAATTCGGTTTGTTGTAAAAAAAATTATTCGGCGTATTACCAAAAAAATAAATTTGTTTCCAATTTTTTTAATGTATTTTCAAATAAGGTAAATAAACTCAAAAAATCAATACTTTAATATTATTGTAAATATATGATGGATTAATGGTATTTTGGAAGATAAGGATAAATTTTTAACTTTTTTTCTCTTCTTTATATATAAATTTTTCAAACTTGATTATTTTGATACATTATTTGATTTAATGAATGCTTTTCTTTTTAATTGGGAATGTCAAGGCTTGAAAGTTAATGGATCATTGGTTTATATCTCTATTATGGTTGGAAGCTTTTATTAATTAATATCATGTTTTTTTTATTTAGTATCATCAACTATATTATTTTTATTTATTAAATAGATCGTACATAGAACATGAAGTTAATGGTTTATTTAATTAAATAAATATTTATTATTTTTATATAGGCTAACTTAGACCATTTGAATTAGAAGGCCTTCATAATCTATAACAATAATTTTTTGGTCAATTTATAGTATTTTAAAAAATAATGAAAATAATTCTTTTCTTTTTTTTAAGTTTTAATTAACTAAAAACCGAATAAAAATCGATATCCTTTGTATAAACATAGTCTTCTTTATAAATTTTAGTAGAAGACGCAAAATAATATAGAGACTTGATTGCTATTTCTATAAACATACCTAAACTCGTCCCAAATCAAACTTGTAAAGATTGGGATAAGATAGAGATATCATCACAAATTAATCAGACTTTGTCCAACTTGTGCCTGCAATATTAGTTTTGGATTAAGAGGAAGGCAAAGTTTGGAGGAATTACGTATGAATTATCTTAGGAGAAGAGATTCCATAAATACCATTTAAAATTAAATAAAGATAACTCAAAAGAGCTTCTATGAAGTAAATAATTCCAATATCCAAAGCATAAGTATAGATAGTCAATCAATCTGCACATGGATTAGCTAGATTCATGATAGATGTGCCTGCATTATTATGTTAAAGTCGTTGCCTTAAAGTCTTTTTTTTTTTTTTTTTTTTTTTTTTTAACATGGAAGATAAAACAGAAAAAACTATGACCAAATTAAGGAATGCCCCACCAGCAACATCTCCCAGAAACAAGCCATAAAATCCGCACAGATCTACCTTCAGCCAGAGTGTGCGTAAACATGAACCTATAAATAACCAAGGAATCCATCAAATTATTCATTCTATACATAAGAGAAATAATGAAGGTTGAAGATCAAGTGCAAAAAGTCCTCTCAAAATATATAATATCGTCCACTAAAACCGGAAATGACCAAAGTCTTTTTCAAAGCAAACAAAATCAAGTCAAATAATAGGATTTTTTTTATATTAGAGTTAGTATTTTTAATTAAATCTATTATGTCTGTATATAGTATCTAATTCTCCCATTAATCATTCTGACTATTTTTTTCAAACAAATGTTCACATATAGGCCACATAGCAAATATTTATATATTCTAAAAACATCCTTGACTGAAATGCAAAATAAATAAATAATAAATCTCTAATATTATGTCCATATATTTCTAATTGTGTCTATTATGTTTTTATATAATATATAATTTTTCAATAAGTTCTTCAATCAAGCTTTTCCAACTAAATTGATAAAATTATATTTTTCATTCTAAAAGTATCCTTGAGCTATATAATGATATAATAGAAATGTTTTTCAAATTTGCTCAAAATGTTTCAAGAAGTAAGAAGCTTCATAATTCAAAATTATTAAAAAAATTTATAATTTTGGATTTTGAAGCTTCTTACTTCTTAAAACATTTTGAGCAATTTTGAAAAGAAGCTTCAAAATTCAAAAATAATAATTTTTTAAAAAATAAAATCATATTCTTGTATAATTGAAGAGTATTTTCAGAATAAAAAATGTAATTATGTCAATATGGATAGAAAACATCACATAATGGCATATAAGAGAATTTGATATTATATAAAAATATAATACCTATAGTCTTATCTTTTTTTTTCTTCATTTTAGTCTAAGATATTTCAAGAATAAATTTTAATCATGTGACCTGCACGTGAGTATTTATTTGTTACAAAGAAAATGATCAATAGGACTAATTAGATAATTAAACTTTATACATAAATGTAATAAATTCAATTAAAAGTTTATAGATAAATAGGAAATTCACCCTATTTTATGATGACATATTAAACCATTTATCCTAAATAAAATAAAGATCCGGTCGGATAATATATATATATATATATATATATATATATATATATTTCGGACTTGTGGGGAAAGGCTCTTGTTTCAGATCGGATCGTTAATCAAAGGATTCGAACATGTAAAAAGCACACCAAGAAAAATCAATTATTTTTATACCTAAATCAAATATTCCAATTTTATTCACATTTTAAATTTATCTAATACAAAATTTGTCCATATGTGTTGAGACACAGCAGCCATTCTTGACAACAAACGAAGTTCTAAAGTATCAGACTTCAAATCGTCGATGCCATCTCCTAACTATGTCCAATTTGATAAAATCTCCACGTGCCATATCATAATTTAGACTAATACTAAAAAAGTTGAACATTTTAGAAGCAGTGATACACCCTTAGTCAAAACCGTGTTGAATTGAAACAGTGTCATTTAGGCCCTTATTATTATTAGTATTACTATTTTACTTTTGGGGAAAGATTTCAGCCCTCCATTTCGCATAAGCAAAGATGGGGCTTTCATTCCACCTGCATCATGAATGATCGCATCTGATTTGGATTTTGACCGAGTAAAAAAATTGGAAAGAGAAAGAAGAAGAGTGAGAAAGCAGCGATCCTAAGGGGGCCTAACCTCCGTTGATTTGACCAACTGAGTATGAAGGTAACCAGAGATTGTAATGAATATCCATTTTATCTATTTTGATAAATATTTATTAAAAATATTCAGTAGATATAGAAGCAATTAAGAATAAAAAAACACATTTATTAATATAGCTTTTGAATATAACATCTATTTTATACCTTATTAATATCTATTAATTTAAAAAATAAATAAAGATCAAAATATTTTTTTATGAAAACTATGAGTCCCCAAAGGTTTATAAATAGAAAACAGAATTGTGGACAAAAATTATATTGGACAACCAAAATAACTTATTTTTGACAATTATAAGGGTTAAAATAAAACATTTTAACAACTTGATTTTATAAGGCATTTAATAAATTGAATATAAGTTAGATACGAATTGGCAAAATTTAGTAATATATATAGACATAATACTTTTTTTTAAAAAAAAAATAGAGTAGAAAATTAAATTAATAGACTAAAAATCCGACCCATTGTAATCCACATGGTTAAACTCATTGATTTGACCAGGATTTGGATACACTCTATGCCTTAAGTCAAATAATCGGCTATTGGTTTGGAGTCCAAAATCTCAACGAATAGAAAAATAAAAGCTACAAGCTGCATTCTGTAAGCGAAAAAATTCGATAGAAAGAATGGGAAAGCTAAGTGTTTGGTAGGAGATTTTTAATGGAGTTGAAAGAAAACTGAGGATTAATTTTTAACGAGGACAATGAGAGAAAAGGGAATCATTTTCTATTTTTTTACATTAATTTACCATAGAAAGAAACGTTTTGTTATAGTGGTCTTTTTAAAAAGGAAAATCAACACAACATATCCCCTAATTATTTTCATTATCATATACAATCCATAATACAATAACTCAAACAAACCATGCATGTCCTTTAATTGTTTTTTGGGCTAATAAACTCTGAAGGTACTCAACGCCCCCCATAACTATTGGTCAATACCACCCGAGTCCCTGAAAAAAAAATCACCCCATTATTTTGCTAAATAAGAAAAAAAAAAAAAAACTTGTTAATAGAAAAAAAATAATACCAAAATTGGAGAATCACCATGAAAGCTATTCAAAATGGTGCCCATTGCCATTAGTTTGCTTGCCAAACTAAATTTCTAATTGACACGAGTTTAAATATGTTGTCGCTCTGTTAGTTTGGTAAATCCAACTCATCCAAGGATACCAATGGCATCATCATTCTTCTGCATCTCCCTCAGAATTCTATTTCTTCAGGAAATTTCGCCATCCCCAAGAAAACATACTGCATCTCCTCTTTCCAGGTCTGCAAATCTCTCAATCATTAGCCATGATAAGATTGCATAGTATGTTACCAGGAACTATAGAAGCATACCTCGTGTCGAAAGGCAATCCTTATATTGGGTACATTTGTCTTGTGAATGTTGTTTCCTTCTGGGCCCCTCAGAAAATATTTGCTACCAAGCCAATGCAACTGCAGGAAAAACCCAAGAAAGGATCCTCAAGACCTTACTAATACAAGCTATACTTTATTTTAAAAACAAAACATGACAGAATCCTATTACATTTCTAATAAAAATAAATGTCCTTTCAAATACTTATTGAGAGTTACCCCTTAAATCTAATGCCATTAGTTTCCCCTTATGTATCGAAATTAAATAAAATTTGTTTTTTTCTGAAAAACAAGTTTACTATCAACATGCAAATCCAAGTCTCTTATTTTAAAATTTTCTCACCTTTGCCGCATGAGAAAATCCAGATTGATAAACAGAATTTCTTGCTATCTCACATAGGTCACAAGCACTGAGCTTCCACACCTACAAAAAGAACAGAATTCTATTACACACCCCACTGAGACTGAAATTAACAAATGACAAATAAAGAACTACCAAACCTTTGCTGCAACACTGTACTCTTCCACCAGCGGTTCTTTTGTTAAATGAATTTGCAAAGGGTCGTCAGTTGAGAGAGAAACATTCAAGCCACGCTGGAAGAATATGGGAAATGGATTGTGATGATAGTTCAGGAAAAGGGAATTATTGCTCAATGGTGACATAGCCAATCCAACCTAGAAGCAAAAGGAATGGTTGTAAATCATTGGAGCATTTTCTAACATATGGAAATAGAACTGCAAAAGAATCAAGACGACAGGAAAAAAAGAATAAGAAAAAAAGACTGAGCAGTACAAAATCATTCACGTAATTTCACCAAGAGGAAGCACTAGTGCAAAATCACTTGAAGAACAGAAGTACATTCTAGGATATTAGGCAGCAGATGCAACTGTTTTTTCCCCCTAGCAACAGGGATATATATTAAGATATGCAACAATAAGATCATGCTAAATGGAAGACAGTTTCTGCCTAGAAATACAACTAAGTTTTGTAGCAAATCACAAGCATATTCCCTAATTTCAATTGAAATGTTTCCCGAGTCACATTGAGCAAACCTGAGCCAGGTAATACAAATATTGCAAAACAGGGGATTTCCGCAAATTGATCCCATGAGATATATTATTGCATAGAAGGAATGCAGCAGCCAAATGGTCAATATCACCAGCCTGCATATTGTAGTGATTGTCAGAAGCTCAGCAATCCAAGTAAACCTAAAAGAAAGATCAAGAAGAGCAATAACCTCTCCACAATGTGGACGAAATTTTATTGTAGGCAATCCTTGTGATTCACGAAGCTGAAAAATATGGAGGCACAAAACTATTTGAATATGATTAGAATAAAGGATGGTCCCTCCTCCTCCTTTCTAGTTTCCCAAAAAGACGAGCGCGAAGGCATAAAAGACAAACAGATAAAGCAAATATTGCAATCCAACAGAATCCACAAAATGAGTTCCTCCAATGCATGAATGCATTTATACTAAGTAAATCAATTAGTTAAGTAATTACTCGAAAAAATTAGTCCTGCTACAATAAAATTGAAGAAAATCATCTTTGAGAGTAGAAACTATCATACTATTATGGAAATCGCTATAATATGGAGCTCACATCAACATCAATACACCCAAAAACTTGACAGTGAAATAAACCACATGAAGCATTGTTAAAGAAAAAACAAAAGTAGAAAGTAAGGCACACCTTGTTAAGAGTATACAAGTTTGCATAACAGTAATATGCATAATAGGAATATGCTGGATTGAACTCATTGGTCCACTCAGCTGGCTTTGGCATGTGTTTAGTTGGTCGCCTTTCTGGTCTGCTTTCATCATCGACAATATCTAATCCCACAACCTGCATGAAGATTAACGCATTTGTTTATTTCTCTGAGGATTCTCTCATACATTTCAGCATATCAAGGCACAATCCTTTTTCCAATAATTGGGTTGTGCAAATTACACGAGCAATAGCAAGCAGAGATCAAAAAATCCATTTTTATTGACCAAAGAGAAAAACAGAAACTTGCTAATTATATCCACTAAAAACTACATGAGTCAAATTATAATGAATACACAATATATTCACATAAGAGAAACTAAGAGGTAAATTTACCTGCATTAAAAAAACATGTAGTTGAGGATGAGAGCTCGGATTGATTGTAACTTCAAATAGTGGGATGAAAACATTATCAAGTATATTCTGGAAAGAATTAACTGTTCCCATTTGCTTGTACACATTGTAAAGTCGGGGTAGCTGCTCATAGAAGATTTAAAAAAAAAAAAAAAAAAAAAAAAATAGGGTGAAAATAACAGGGGAAAACAAATAAAAAATTTCACTCCAAGCAAACTCATGAATTGTTAGCAGTCAGGACAATCTTGTTGATTCTAAAACACTTAAATTTGCTAAATTTTCCTGGAACAGTGATGCTCCATGTGATACTAATGCAGCACATTCTTTTTTTTTTTTCACTCACTTCTAACAATAGATAAATAATGCCTCATGATAGTTCCAGAGTTCGAGTTACTAAAGAACAACCAGGCTTAGATTCTTTTGTTCCAATATAAACCATTTTTTATTCCTAACATAAACTATCTTGTGTTTAAACAAGTTTCTCATTGTCCAAAGTTTTAAGTAAACACACACTAATGGTATGAATCATCACGCTCAGGAGTGGCCATTCTAATTTGTTGGGTGTATGAATGATTAGAAACACAAAACAATGCAGCTTGCATAAAAAAAGCACAGCGTTGCAAATTACCTGGATCAACCAAACAGCATTCTCGCTAAAAATTGCATTATTAATAAACCAACTTGCCAGCTGGTCCCATTCACTCTGTTTTCTCCCATATATGGATACTCTGTACTCTGCCATCTGAATTTATTGGATGAGAAAATTTGGTGTCAACAATAAAAAAAATGTTTTTTGTCAAAACTTATGTCAATAAGTTAGCTTTTAGCCATATTTATGACTTCATAATCATTGGAGAATAATCAAATGATAAACAAAACGGATACAGGAGCCTGACAAGTAACTAATAGCTTGTGGCAAGTGATATGCAACTAGTATCAATGGGCATGGGCATAGTTGCAAGGTGGGCCGCCTAAGCCAACAATGGCCATATGAGAAGAAAAAAGAGTTGCTCCAGATCATGGAAAGAGAGAAAAACAAAAGGTTGATTTTAAAAACAACCAGCAGCCAAACTGACAGTTACAGGCTAGCAACGTTAGCAATAATACTACTGAAACTGCCATCCAACTTAACATTATGGCTTCGTAGAGACTAAAGGTCAAAACCCAAATTAGTTTTACATAGTGCCCAAACCAGTAATGTACTTTGTTGAGGACCAACAAAAAGGATAACTACAAATGCCTGTATAATTCTTCAGCATATTGCAAATAATTCTAAAGCTGTCCCAAAATAGCAGGGTAATGATTTTTTGTCCAGTTTTTATGTAACTCCATTGAGCATCTTCATTCACCACTCATATTCAATGTTCAACAAGATGATCAGGATTAAGTACTTAAGTCCAAAAACCCCATACTGCAAACTCAAAACCGTGACTTATTATTTTCCCTAAATGCTAAAAGATCCAAATGTCAATAAAATCAAGATAACAAAGCCTTATGCCATATGGCATCCAATAGCAACACAAGGTTCATTGATTCAGGGCCAAGAAACTGTGCAAATATTTGCTCAAACTTAAGCAGTTAGTAAAAAAAAAAAAACAAAAAATGATTGTGCATGAATGAAGATTTTGGCTTCTGAAATCAGTTTCTAGAACTTACAGGGAGATTACAGGCATACATGCAGAAGAAAAGGCACAAGAAGATCAAATCAAACCCAAAAACAAAAAAGGAAAGTGTATATACTGCTGCTAAAAATGAGATAGAGAAAACTTGTGAAGAGAGATTTTTTTTTCAGCTGTATATACATATTGCTCAAAATAAAAGAAGAAAAATTCTTTCCTGGTTGGTTAAAGCTGTACACAAAGCGTGTGCACATACTTTAAAACACTAAAGAATGGGAAACAATTATTAAAGGAGGATAGCAGGATATCAATGCACAAAAGATCCACAAAGAGACACAAAATGAAGCACAGGTGCTCCTTAGAATGTAAGGCATTATCTTTTAGAATAAAGACAATGAAAAACGAAAAGAATGGGCAAGCCCTGGATTGTTAAGCAAACCTGGTATTTGCTTGCCTCGAGATCTGATAAAACTCCTTTTGTTACTTCAGCCAAGAAACGTCCTACAATAATTCAGTTAAAGTCAGCGCACTTTTTTCCCCATCAAACAAAATCTAGCAGAGGATGGATATTCACTTCAATAGATATCTTCAGGTACAAAAGAAAGGGCCAAAATAGAACAGTTCTTCCAACTCCAAATATTTAATGCAATTAAGCAAGTCCCAAAGATCCAAATAGAAGTCAAGCACATGCATTTAAAACAAACATCAGAACAAAGATATCAATAACAAAAATGACATGCTTGAAGACAGCAATTATGTAGCAATCCATTAGAATGAATGCAAGTAATAGGCTAATAACCTTGAATGAGATTATCCTGCTTTAAGAAGATCTCTCTGAGTCTGCTTTGTCCACAAGGATTATATTTGAGGTTGAATTTATCAAAACGATGAAAGGTGCTCTTATCAGCATGGACATCCAACAAATCAACATTCAAATCGTACCTGGCAAGCAAGTTTGAAAAGCTATGATATCAAAAAATCATTCTTCACAATGAGGTTATTGATAGAACATAATACATACCTGGTCAAATAGGATATTAATAGAACATACTACATACCCAGTTAAATCTAAACTCTCAAAAACTTCTTTTAGTGTCATGTATTTTCCATCTCTGAATATAACAACCTGCAAAATCAATGTGCTTAGCAAGTAACAAAAGGCATAAAAATTTGGAAGAAAAAAAATTATCTTACTAAATGATAATGCACTTGAGTAACTGTTATAGAAGATCTATCTACTTTGGATTGACCAGCGAAGAGGTTATTCTTCTAGGAGTACTAGTATGGTACTTGTGCATTGCTGTATGTAAGTCTTTAAAATCTATTTTAATTGACTTACAAATCTATTTTAATATTTTAATTAATTTTAAAACTCTAAGTGAATGAAGTAAAAATATATCAATATCGATTGTGGTAATTTTTTTAATTTAATATGTATCATGTAGTATTTAATACCATGTGTGTATTTTATATTGGAGTTTAAATATATCTTATCAATTAATTATTTATTTTATAAGAAAATCAAATTAGAAGATTTAGTAATCAGAAGGCAAAAAATGACACTAAATCAAATCATTTTGAAGGGTGTTTAATTTTAGTACATGAGTATTAAAAAAAAAATCACAAAATAACCATTAACTAAGAAAAAAATTATTTTGAACCAACAATAAATAATGGAAAAATAAAAGCATAAAAACGGAAAAATTAATTTTTTTAAAAAAAAAAAAGAAAGAAAGTTGGGTTGGGACTCAGGCCCAGCCCACACAGCCCAGGCACATAGGAAAAACGGAGCTGGACGACATGTCATCTGCAAGGATTGATGTGTCACCGTCTCTAAAACTTAATTGTTACACCATTTTTACCTCCGAACACCTTAGAATTATCACAAGAACATCTAAAAACCATTTTGAACCTCAAAATATGTTTTAATCAACCTTAGAAAAAAAAACTGATTCTCTCTCCTCCATTCTCTCTCTTCAATTCTCTCCCCTCTCTACTTTAAGAAACCCCATTTTAACACGGTAAAGTTTAGGCACCATTTCATACAAACCAATGACCAAACTGAATTCATATTTGTGAAAAGTCAAACATCAAGGACTAAAATGAAGTCATATTTTCAAAACATCACTTTTTATTTTATCAAAAAGATGTCGTTTTGAGCTAAAATAGATCAAAACAATGTCTTTTTGATCTAATTACAGCAGCAAGATAAAGCTAAAAAATCATATCGTTTAAGGCTCTTTCCATAATGTATTAATGACAGATTTTCCTCACAATAGGGTTTGAATTTCAGCTATGTAGTATAATCTATGAGAGGGGAAGAAATGTAATTTCTGCATATTCTAGCAAAAACAAGGGTATATTGGTAATTTTAGAATTTGATAGACGGTCTAGTTTTATTTAGGAATTAGAGTATCCATTACAAGTTTTCTATTATGTCTGTTTTGCTTTTCCTATTTAATTTAGAACAGTTAGGCCTTTTCCTGCATAAAAAAGAAGCACCTATTCTATGTAATAGGGAGGGGCTTTGAATAATAGAATTATCAGTATTTTGGTTTAGTTTGAGGGCTTCGACCTTTAGTGTTTTTCTTCTTCCTGTTCTTCTTGCTATAGTCATCTTGGATTACTTCTCACAACTAAAACAACCACAAATCCTCATAAAATCCTTAACCAACCCCAACTCTACATACATCAAACCTCAAACTCATTTCCAGCTTAAAAGCCCTACTTCTCCAAACCAGGCTCACCAGGAATCTTTTTTGGTACAAAAAACCTAAATTGTCCTGCATGAATTTTGTATCAAACCTAAAGTGATCCCTCCTTTTTTATTTCTTTCTCCCATATCCAAGTTTTACATTAATTAATTACATAAAGTTTGAACAGAATAAATGCTCCAGCTGGTAATATTAGGAACATTTAATCTTGATAAGATATCTTATAAGCAGTCAGCCTTTTCAATCAATCCAAGTTTTATTAGATAGAATGCATCAAGTACTATATCATATCACAATGGAAGTGCTCTATCAAGTTTTGGAGTTTGTTGGATAACGTAGTCATGTTTAAAGAGTCTGCCTTATTTACTATATCAACAAAGTGTTATTTTGGCAATGCTCTCTCTTCTGAGGTAAGATATCTACAAAAATTGTTGGCCATTGGATGTTTAGTTGTATAGTGATGTAGATTATGAATAGAAGACTCCTTGGAGAAAATTGCAAATCAATTTTTAAAGCAACTGCAAGTATCAACAAAATTCTAGAGAAAAGCATTCCTTTCAAAGAAGCAAACCAATCAGTTCGTGATCCTGAAAAGCAAGTTATGGCTATGTCAAATCTGACACAAACATAGTTGGAATAGCCACACAGCCACCAGAAAGCAAAGATAATGGAAGCACTATTGAACAGAACAGTCAAGCATTGTAAAATAATGAAGTTAGCAAAACAGAAGCACAATACTGACAATGCAATTGTATGTGACAAAGGGAATATGGTGCAATATCTTCCTCTCACGACTTTACAAAACCTCGTTATTGAATTTCAATTCATTCCAAGATCTACACATTCTTAGGTAAAGGCAAGATCAACTGAGTAGTGCAGATTCCAAGTGTTAGGAGCTTTATACTAGAACATTTCAAATTTCAAGATCAAGTCTTCTAGGAGGGAAAAAAAAACAAGAACTGATGGCACAGCTAAGTTATGGTTATAGAAGATTCATCTACTTTGGAAAATCAAAACCAAGCTATCTAGAGTCAAAATTTAAATTCTGTTTGACAGGACTTATCAAAAGTAACATTTGAGTCATAATTCAGAAGTTATTCTTCATAAATAACATATGACAAAAATGGGTCAAGTTAGAAGTATGTTTCGCAAAAAATGACTCTAAGCAACTTTTTATAGTAGTAGTATAACTCAGAATCAATAATTTCAAAGTTAAAATTTTTAACTTTTGACTAAAGGAAATGATGATCCAATTTTGTAACTAGCTTTTCTATTAAAGTCAAAAGTTATTTTAATCGTATTTATGACTTTTTTAATCAACAGTTAAAAAACAACTTAAATATATTTGCAAAAGCCATAACAAAGAGAGCCTAATTCTTTATAAAGAAAGAGGTTTTCTAGTCTAAGAACAATTTTTGACGATAGGTTCTTAGTTTAAGGGTTTGAATTTTAGTTATGAATAATTTGCAGTTAAGAGGCAGAATTGTAATTTATGAAGATTCCTTTTCTAACAAAAGTGATCTGGTCCTATTTACAAGTTTGAATATTAATTAGGATTTTTCTATCATGTGTGCTTTCCTTTCCTATCTGGTTTAAGACTATTAGGCTTTTTGGAACATATAAAACGAGCACTTATGCTATATAAGTAGCACCTGTTTCCAATTTCCAAGTCTAATAAAACACTATTAGGACAGAAATCTAAAAGTTGACTTGTCTTGCATCACTTTTCTTCTTCTTCTTCTTGTTTTTTTTTCCTTTTGCTACAGTGATCTCGGATTATTATTTACATCTACAGTAACAGTCCCAAATCCTTCTACAACACATCATTCATCAATCTCAATTCCACATACATCAAGCTCTTACCTTGATCCCCACCTAGAATCCCTAATTCTCCAAACCTAGCTCACCATGAATCCTTCTGTGGTAATGTAAAACCAAAGTTGTCTTGCATCACTAAAGCAACCAACTTACATTGTCAAATTGGTAGGAGATAGGGATATACCTCATCTGGTTCTTTTCTAAGTTTTGACTTGATGAAACGTAAGAGATGCTTCTGGTTCATGCAAGCAGAGTGATGCACGTGTGTATCCACTTTTCTGATATTGTAGAAATCACGGTGAGGTGCACTCTTCTGAACCAAGGATTCCCTATCTGCATTTACTAACAGATGAAGGCGGAATTTCTGTATAGTGTGCAGATATAAGTAACAAGCACAAGCTCCAGTTAATAACACAAGTCCAAAAGATGGTTTGAAGAAAATTACCTCCTCGAGAAATCGTAGCCTGTGATAGCACGCAGAGCGAACATTTCCAAGGGAAACGATTCTTAAAAGGTGATGCATATCAGTGAAAAAAGCAGTTGCACTAGCAACAGGGAAAAGTTCTATAGTATCTGAATTAAAATTCAAAAAACCTGGGTTAGACAAATGCCAAAAGTTAAATAAAATGTCTATTCAGCTCATAAAATGATAACTTTCGAAACTAAATATAATACATCGCACAAAAACTTGGGTTTTAAAATGTGCAGAATAGGAGAAATCACCATCCTGTCCAAATTTTCTACAGCACTGCGTTCTGTCCATTTAGCCATGACCCAGATGTTTTCTTCAGGAGTCATTTTTTCAGTTGGGTTCCAGTAGCTATTACTTCCAAGCTGGATTTGGCATGGTCAAATCATACTGTGTAGGCCCAAAAGACCTTTGAGTAAATTATTTTCAAGTCTTTACACCTATGGAGTATACTTTGAAATGAAAAAAATCAAGTATGGAGGGACTGATGTTCTACCACAGCATGAGAATCCAGGGACTAATGTATAACCAAAAAGAAACCTCCAAGACCTAAAAGTAATTTAAACAATTCCTCTGTAAGGATAATCCTAGCAAAAGAAATGCTACACAACCAATGCTAACATACAGAAGTGGTGACCCAAAGTAAAAATCATTTCAGCAAGAATTACATATATAAAGCACCAGCATGAAAGGAGATCAAACAACTCATTGAGATCACACCTTATCATTTGAGGGGGCATAAAGAAGATGCAGAAGATTAAAAGCACAGTACATGCATCATCAAAGATTGAGGTACAATATTGCATATTCAATTCTGTAAATTCATTCACTCTTAAGTATAACGGAAATTCTAATACAGTTTTTGAGAGTAACAAATGTGCTACAAGGCTAACTATTTCTAACCTGAGAAACATGAGTCAAATTTGGATAAATGTTCTTTTCGTGAAACAAGTTTACTGGTTGGTTTTGAAGCCATTTTACAAGAACAAACTTAAGAACCAGAAAATATGTTGGGGATTGAACCCAAAGATCGCAATTCACAGGTCCATTAGATGACCAAGTTGGATCAAACAATTTTTTCCTCAGATAATGCTATCAGGTGACTGTCGACAAGCATATTTTGAAAAAAGGTTCAAAATCCTCCCAAGTCTTAAGAGTCCCCAGTGTTTAAACTTCAAACAATGATTGATCAAAATGAATAATAATCTCTTATTATTTACCATGTTCACTGGCATAAACATGAACAACTCCATCTTCCATCCTAAAACAATGCTGCACAAGAGTTTAAGATAACAAAAGGTCAAAAGAAATTTTTTTTAACCAAAAAAAAAAAAAAAAAAAAAAAAAAAAAAAAAAAAAAACAGATGCAGCAAAATGTTATTTTTGGAGAATTTCAAATTGGAAAGTAACTTACTGTAGTTGCTGGAAAAGGTTCGAAGAGATTAGTATTCACCCCTGATGCAGTAGATTGTTCCACAGCTTGCTTCATCCATGGAGCAACGTTTTCCGCATAAACATATCTATTTCTCAAATCCAAACACTCACAAATCATCTTACGCACTTCTTTCTCTTCTACATTTATTGATTCTGAGTAGAAATATTTAGGGATAAAGAGAGCATATGTCAATATCCAAGGTTAATTCATACAAAGATCCCTGAAATATACACCGTTTGGATCAACACCCCCTACACAATTTTTTTCATGCAATAGCTGAATTTGGAGTGTTAGGATTTACACCCCTTTTGTTAGCTTCCATGTATAAATCCCATAAAAAATAAAAATAAAAACATGAAAATCACATGTATCCCCCAGAACCCTAAAAAAAATAAATAAATAAATAAAAACACCACAGGTTCCCTCACCTTTTTTTTCCCCTGCCCAGTGGGAAAAAAAAAGTCAAAATAATCAATCAAATTAAAAGGAAAATATTTAAACCACCTTAAAGACAGTGAGAGAGAAGAAGAAATGCATAGCATAAAAAACCTCAAGAGAAGCAACATAAGCTTGCTATAGTACTCAATGGCTAGAAAAAGTTGGTTGAAAACTCTCTCTGATCTTCAATCACCTTGATCAAGAAAGATTGGTTAGGAGAAATTTTCAGCTTATTGCATTGGGAGAGAAGAACCAACTCGATGAGTTCCAAACCAGTTTACACTCACCCCACATTTATCTCCACAATTTCCATCAACTAGTGATCCACAACTCATCCACATAAAATAATTGATGCAGGCCCATATGATAGATTTTTTAGAACTACTTATTTTAAAAGGAAATCAAGGGTTTAGTTTTAAAATGTAGTTTCTTGTGCCTTCCAACTTTCATTAGGATTTTCTATTTTGTTTGTTTGGAAGTCTATAAATAAACACCTTATGTAAACATTCAGTTTAAAAATTAAATACTAAGTAAAATAAACTTGAGTTTTCACAATCATTTATCATTATGGTCATATTCATGCTCTAAAGCTAAGGTGAGATATGTGGACAATTTGCTACAATATGACCCCTATTATGACAATGATGCATTGTATGAAAGAACTTCTAGCACAAAAACTACAACTAAAACAAGAATTGGAAAATGCGTTGCTTTAAGTTGTCGGAAAGACATCTTTTTGCCTAACACTATTATCCCTCTACAGCCAGATTGAGAAACAGCCTTAGATTGATGAGACGCTAAGAGTTGTTACATTCTTTGCAATGGAAAAATGCAAATTACACTTTTCTATCTCAAGAGTCTTGTGGTAAGCCTCCTCTTAAGAGCGTGTACAAGAAGTGCATTCTTTATATCTACCTTGAAATCATTGATAAAGCTCCTATGAGTCAAAGGGATATGGCAGGGACATCTAGACTAGCCAGGGAAATCCCATTATTGGGGAAGAGCAATCACAAGAACTGTGCAACAATCTCTACTTCCGCTGAATCTCGTGCAGCAGGAACCATCCGACTTCTTTTTCACAGTGAACATTTCAAATGGCGCCAATTAGGGTCCTCATATTTTTGTTCTTGGATTGCCTAGGCAACGGAGGACATGACTCTATTTTAGTTGTGGTTATGGGTTTCCTTAAATAGCACATTTTATTCTCTAAAATAAAACAAGTAATACTTAACATGTTACCAAATAGTTTTTAGATAAATTGAGTTTTCTTTCAAAGCCTGTGTTTTTATTATTTGTTATGGACTTGTTAAAACCCAGAAATGCAAACGCATTGTTTTAACAATATTTATGCCAAAAAATAAATGCCAAACGAGACCTTAGATTGCTTCAAAAAAAGGAGATTTTTTGGTGCGAGCCTGGAAGAAGATATTATAATACGTTGTTAAATGCTTTTACTAAAGCAAATCAATTAGACAAAGCACTCTTATTTTGGAAGAGGGAGTGTCTTGCCTAATTTACGAACATACAGTATTTTAACTAGTTTAGAAGAGATGAATTGTCAAGGCAAAAGGACTGCTATATTCAATTTGGAGTACAGATTTTTTGGTAAGGCCATTAGAGGTGTTTGATGAGACATTAATAGAACAGTAAAAAGTTAGACTCGGTAAGTGCATTAATTGTGTTTGATGAACTGTTTGAAAGAGGTTAGTACATGAAGTGATGTTTTATAATATAATAATTGATGAAATTTAAAAAAAAAAAGGAGATTATGTAAAGGTGAAAGAGATTTGAGAGAGGTTAGTTAGACTTGTGTTTATCTGAATGTGGTTAGGTATCATTTGGTTGCAAAGAATAAGAAGTCCAGCATGGAAATGGAGGAATCAAAATAATGTTTTAATTACAATAGTATAATAAAAATGAAAAAAAGACTTTGTCAATAATGGTGGTGGTGACAGACGTAGAAAGTGGTAAAAACGATGGTGATAATAGCAATGGTTATATAGCAACAAGTTGTGATGGTAACAATTAGAAGAATATGTTTGTGGTTGTGGTGGTGATTGTGACAACAGTAGGAGTGATTGCTTATCTGTTGTGGTGGTGGCAGCAGCAGCGCTGTAGAAGAAGTGCTATTTATAATAATAAAATATTTTTTGAAAAAAATAAATAAATGTCACCACAGTAGATGGCGGTGGTGATGGCAACGGCTATAGAAATGGCAGATGTGGTGGTGGAACTAATTGTCAGACGATGAGTAATAATAATATATCATTCTTTTTAAAAAGAATATCGCATTCTTTAATCCTTACTTTTATTCTCACAACCCACCGTGCGAATGAAAACATAGTAAATTTCCTTTCTCGTTCCCATCATTCCATTTGTTATTACCAAACAGCACCATAATCATACGACTAATGGCTTATCTATATTGGTGAAGTTTGAAGAGAGTTTATTTATAAAATGTAGAGAGAAAGAAAGAGTGTTTTTCATGTGATTTTTTAGGATCTGGTGTACATAACTACAAATTTTTTTAAACGAGATATATAAACAGAACCTAACAGAAGGTGTGTAGATCCAAATACCCAACAGTCTAACTATTAAAATTAAAATTAAAATTAAAAAAAAAAAAACAAAAACAAAAACTTTAGGAGTGTCAATCAAAATGGCCAATAGTTTAAGAGATCTTTGTGCAGACTAGCCAAACATTCGATCATTTATTAAAAAAAAATTCTTTAAACTAAGCACACGTGACACACCCACTCAACATGCTCATATAAACGAACTAACAAATTCAATTACATCTAACTTTTTCAAATCAAATAAGGATTCTTCAAACTAGAGAAATAAAATAGAGTCAATAACACCAATAAAAATAATTCAACACGTAATAGAGAGAGTAAAAAAACTCTATGAAAGATAAAAAGAAGATCTCAAGAAAGGACTAGAAATAGAGTACCAGGCACTGAAGTTCTTTGAGGCAAAATCATGGTGGCAAAAGGAGGATTGTTTCCCACTCGCTGAACTGAAGTTGCATGTACCTTTCCGTCACCATGTTGTTCAACACTAGCTCCAATATTCTGTTCAGGAACACTGTATGTACTGTCAACACCACTAAATTGTAAAACAGTAGGATTTTGAATTTTTGAATCAACATCCTGCAAATCCATCAACAATAAGTATGCACTTATTTGAACGTGCTTTTTTAAATCACGCTCTAGAAATTAAAAAAAAATTACAAAACTTTAAACAATCATATATGGCAAGGAAAAAGACCTTGCAATTAACTAATATGAACCTATATCAACCAAAAATGGTGTTTTTGTTGACCTATCTCAACCAATATTATCACCATCATCTGCACATGGCAGCCAACACATAAAATAACAATTTGTGGGGAAAAATGGGATTTGCTTCCTTGATCATTAATGAAATTTCATTCTAAATGACAAAGTAACCAACTCAAGTATCAAAAAATAGGTTGTTAAAGCATCAGAGACTACAATACAGAATAATCTACAACATTGTCACTCATATGTAACCATACGTAAAAGTACAAACTCTGTCAAAACAATTGATTTGATTGAAATACCCTTATTATACATTTTATTTACTTCCAGGGTGTTTTTAATTTTTAGCCCTAAAACCGTATAGGAATTTTAAAATAAAAATTTTGTTGACTATTGTACCCTTGACAATTAATTTTCGAAAAACTTCAAATATCCTAGCTAACCTGTTGAGTATTTTTTTCAAAGGCTGACATCCCGGTGACCTACACAAGAGCAATTATTTAGGTCTTAAGGGAACACCAATTAATTTAGCTAACTGAAATATGACCATTATTAAGACCACTATACGAGGTTGCTACTCATTACTTGCAACAGTCCCACTGCCATCACCACGGTGAATTGAACCTTTTTTGTTTTTAGTAAAAGCCTTAAACCCTTGAGCCCTGTTTGGGTCTGCTATCCGAGATAATAAAGCTTCTTTCAAAACTTGAAGAAGAGAATAATCCTATGTAAGATAGGAAGATCAGCAGAGAGGAAAGTTCTAGCCCCTCTAAAAAGGGAGGGAGTCCATTCCCAAGCCTATTGTTAAATGATTGATAAGGACTAGTTATTTACGAGTATAACATGACTTGCATACCCTCATCGACCAATATCAACATTTTTCAATAGGATAACCCGCTTTATTTGTGAAGAGGATAGGTCTCTTTTCAATGAGGTCGAGTTGAACGAATAGAATAATCATGATCCTGACAATAGCGCCCTGACCCCGAGACCTGAAGTTAGCAGCCCAAGGGATTCACAAACCGGGAGTAAGGTTGTGTCCACACTTCATATCTAAGCTTGCCTAACCTAGTAAAAGCCTTTGTAGAGAACAGGTTTTCAGGGAATAAAAGTTTCCAGGTCGATCTTTTTAGAAACAGGACTTCTAAAGTCCAGTGGCTAATCAATCTAGCTCGATCTAGTGCATACGTAGTTCCACAAGCAGCAGTTTTCTGATGATAGAGACACTCTAACTATCTAACTACTATGAATTATTTGAAAAGAACTCTTATCCTTACACTTAAAACTCTCTCTCTCTCAACATTTTAGGATTCTTAATTTCTTCAATGTTAGTATTTTGATTGAATTGAAAAAAATATAAGATTAAGTCCAATAACATATTAATAAGTTTAATTAGAATTTAAAACCTTAGTATTTATGCTAAAAAAATTCTAATGAGGTAAACATAACTATATATAGATATTTGATTCAACCGAAGTACCTTCATTATTTAAGTTTAACGATTAAATTATCACTTAAACTTGTATAAGATCTAAATACATCTAATTTATTCTATTGAAAAATGATAATCAATAAAAGCTTATCCCATTTTATTATTAATATTATAAATATAAGTTTTAGAAAAAAAATATCTAACTAAGATGCCAAGACAAAGTGAAAGCAGAAGGAAAAGCAAAATAAAAACTTAATTTTCATGATACAGTTTTATCATAGCGTAATAATCTCATTTGTGTACCATCACATGATTATTAAAAAAAAAATAATGTGATGAGGAACTTTTCCTCATTTATACACATAAATCCTAAAATTAATTTCATTGTTTTTATTTGCCTACCTCTAATAGTTTATTTAATTAATTTCTTTTATATTATTAAAATGAGCAACTTTGTGTAAAAGTAAACAAATAACCATTGGAAGCTAAATATTTCAAAAATCATCAAGTATGATGAAAATTATAATAAGCTTGTCACTTGAAAATTTTAATATTTTTGCTTCAAAGCTTATCTTTTTACCAAATAATATAACACTTGTAATGTCCATAAAAATTATCCAATGAATTTCTTTTTAAATAGTATTTCAAATAAAATAAGTTTTCAACAACTTGAATAATGCATGTACGTGGCAAAATCACTAGTCTAAGAGAAAAGGGGATATTGATTGTTTAGTTTCTTTCTAAAACTGTCACATAAGAAAACCATGCATTACCATTTAACCAACAGCATATATAACAAACAATTGCCTTATACTTTGATGCTAAGATTCAAGAACTAACTATTAATAAATAAGAAAGATTGTAAATCTTGAACCAAATAGGCACATACGTTTGTATAATCAGCTGAAGAATCCACTGTCTGAGAATAAAGAATAGCATCTTCGTCGGCAAGTGCCGTTCCTTCCTCTTCAGAATCCACCGAATATTCAAAGGCATTGCCACTTGGAGATCTTGGAGTCATTAATCTTCCAATAGATGTCATCCTTGTAACAGAACTAGAGTAGTTCAGAGTCTTACCATCTCCTGCACAGAGCGTAGAGAGAGGGAAAAAAACTTACACTTGCCCAACAACTGAAAGAAAACTCAATATAGCCTTCTCTACTTAATTTGTTATAATAAACCTAGCAAATCACATTAGCAAGAGCACAAAATTAAATAAAGTTATAAAACATAAGGAGCAACACTCAAGGTTTTCACTGTGGACAACAATCTCCTCAATATAATTATAAACAATTTCTGATTCGCAGAAAAGAAACATAAGCACTACCTTCTCTTGGAACGGTATGTAGAGGAGGAAGCCCTGAGGGAATGAAATTGAGGTTATTATCTTCTCCACGAGCACCGGGGCCAAACCTCATTGACTCCTCATCGAACCAATCATTGTTCAACACGGCATTGGGCATGGAAGACGATATCCTATAACTTGGAATTGCTCTATTATCATCCAAGGAGCGCGACACACACATTTTCCGGTCAATACGCATCAGTTCTCCATCTGATCCGTACTCTTCATCTTCATCGTAATTGTTATTATCTACCATATCGATTTCCTCCTCCTTCCCTTTGCGATGAGATTTGAGAACGGACTTGCGGCGGATGGTGATGAGGCGATCCAGGACTTGATCAACGGAGCGCTTGTGAATGAAAAATGCAGAGATTGCCATAAGTGAGGCACCGACTAGAGCTGCCATGGCTAGTTGCAGAGAAGATGATGCTGGATATGATGATGATGAATCCATGATACTGTATCGGAGTTACGCAGCAAAAATAAAAACCCCAAAACGAATTCTAAGTGAGGAGAAAGGGAATCGACGGTGAGGTTTTTAATTTTATTTTTATAGGTACAGTCTTTGGCCATTGGGTACGTGCTCTACAACTGGGAAGAGCGAGGGAAGGGTGCCCGAGTGCACGGAGTTCTAAGTTATTGTACATTGGGACCCAAAGTAGAGGGTTAACATACGTTTTTCAAGGAAAAAAATTGCAAACTTGAAATGGGTTGATTATAAACTACTCCCTTCAGTTTAGGAACAATAACTAATTAGTCCTTATAGTTTTCAAAATTGTGTATTTAATCTCAATGTTTTTAAATGATTTATTACTTAATATTGTTTGTCCATTTTATATTATTTTTTATTTAAAAAAAAAAAAAGGAAAGTAACAAGCACACGTGGATGGAAAATAAAGCATTTTTTTAACAAAATACTTTTAAATTAGCAAAGTCAATATTGATTAAGAAGCTATAATTATTTTTAATACCACAAGCATTAATTAAATTATTTCTTGATACGCTTATATGAATTGCAAAACATAAATCTTCTTTTTTGCAACCACGCTCTATTCCAAATGGGAAGTTGAAACTGAATTATATTGTTTTTTATTTTAAAAATCTAATTGCAAATCCGTTTGCAATATATATATATATATATATATTTTTTAGGATTTTGGTAGTTTTTCTGCATATTTCATTTATACCTCAGGAATACTGTGTATTTGAATTAATTTTTTTAAATAAATTATAAAATTTATTTAAAATAATGTGAAACTAAATATGAAAATTAGCATTAAATCCAATTTAATAGATTAAAAAAAAAAACATAACAAGAGCCCATGAAGCGAATACAAACCTAGATATGTTTCTAGAGATGGATGTAACATTCAATCGTGGATAACCTTAAAATCACTTATTTCGATGGAGCGAGTATTGTCAAAAACAACCTAAATTTTTCCAACTAATTCAGATAACAAGATTTAAAAAAAAAAAAATTGAAAAAAGGGTAATTACTTGTTTTTGTTTTTATTTTTTTATTTTTTTGGACATATGAAAATAACTAGGTTGCACATGAATCATAAATTTTTGTTATTTTTGCAATAGTAAATTCTTAAAAGTAACGGGTCGGTAATTTTTTTAGACCTAATTTTTACTAATCAAAAAATTTCTCAGGCTTAATTTTAGCTATTGTTTCTAACGCATAAAATGAATATATATATATCGTGCAATAAATAACAAATTCATTGTAGATTGAGATGAACAAAGAGTTGAACTTTTTACCTTGATTATTGAAAAAAAATATGGACGAAAATTATGTTCTCATAGTTTCATGATATAAAAATGATTGAACCATCAAAGTCATCATAATTGAATAAGTTAAAGATGGCAAATCATAAATATGAAAAATGTCAAGATAATAAGTATTTTTATGTTCTAGATGACTATCTCGAGGTATAATCAAATTGTTTTTTTGAGATGACACGCGTTGTTCATAATAAATTTCTAATGCAACATATCAAATGTATGTTGTACGTCATTTCAAAGTTGCAACAAGTTTAACTTCCTTAAGGTGTCTTTTAAGTTTTCACTTCTTGTAAGACTTAAAAATCAACAAAATTTAGTACCACTTTTATTAAAATTTGAAGTACAAAAATATGACTTTTTAGTAGAAGAATAAAGAAAAGAAAATGAAAGAGTTTTTTTTTTCTAAGTAATGAATATCAAAATTTGTAATTCTTGCAAATGACAAAAACAAAACCATATGTATAGGCAATTGAAAAATATTCGTTATTGATTTTTTTTATCATTATAAAAAATAGTTTTTTTCTCGACAATTTCTAACCATTATGAAACATAGATGTTTCGACCATTATAAAAAAATAATTGTTTTTTACCGTTTTTTGACCATTATGAAAAATAACCATCTTTTACCATTTTTACCGTTATTGAAAAAATAATTAAAGAAAAAAATTTTCTTGTTTAACAATATAGTTTAAAGTTTTAAATATTTTACGTAAATACTCTAACAATCCCCCACTTATTTTTATAAAATATTAACCACATAGTTTGGATTAAAAAATAAATATAATACATAATAAGAGTACCAATGGCTTAAACCCTTACTTAGTATTTCAATAATATTGTTCTTAAGTCAATAGTAAATATTATCTTAAACTAACGTTTTTTAGAAAAAAATAAATAGTATATCACACATATTATATTCAAGTACTCTACAATAAGTTTCGAAGCTAGCACATTATAGTCTTGAATTTGATCCTCGACTTCTATGAACATTCTAAAGAATTAGTCATATTCTCATAAGAAGTGGCCTTACTTTATTACTCATATAGGTGAGTCTAAAAAAATCTTATGTGATTCTACATCCTACTCATTAAGAGCTTTGATCTCTTTGAAAGTTTTTTTTTTAATAGAAAAACTCAATCTTTAACTCGTCACAATATATATGCACTTGCATAGGAATAGATATATGAGTATTGTAATGTAAATAAATTATACATGTAATCAAATGATCTTTTTCTTTAACTTATTTATTGGAATCTCTAGTCCTTATATAGAGTATCTATATAGGTGATTTTGTTCTTTTATGGATTTATCCTATATTTGGTTCTCGTACGGTTTTAATTTTTTTATTGAGACCCTTTACAATTTTTCAGTTTAATTGAAACCCCCTACTCATAAAAATTTATTGATTCAAACCCTTCATTATAACTTTATCAATTATTTATCTAACATGACATATTATAATTAATAACCATCAATCACTAATTGAGACGTGGTGTTGTAGGTCTCAAATAATAATTTTACCGTCCAAAATTAAAAAAAAAAATGCTTTTAATAATAAAATAATATTTATAACTAAGAAAATAAATCATTAAGATAAATTTTCCCCGGTCTTATTATTCTAAAATCCATCTCTCTCTCCTCACCTGTCTCTTTCTACATAAAGACCAAATCTGTTGCATTCCCTAAACTCCTCATTCTTATTCTTCAAATCCTAAAACTTCTAATCCCCGACTTTGTTTTTTTTTCTTCTTCGTTAATTGAAACCCTATGCTTCCTCGCTACTTCTTCTCCTCCTTCTTCTTCTCCAATTGAAGCCCCCGCTCATACAAAATTTATTAATTCAAACACTTCGTTATAACTTTATCAACTATTCATCCGACGTGACATATTATAATTAATAGCCATTAATCACCGATTGACACGTGGTGTTGTAGGTCTCAAATAATAATTTTACCGTCCAAAATTAAAACAAAAAAATATTTTTAATAATAAAATAATATTTATAATTAAGAAAATAAATCATTAAGATAAATTTTCCCTCGTCTTATTATTCTAAAATCCATCTCTCTCTATTCCCTGTCTTTTTCTACATAAAGACCAAATCGTTGCATTCCCTAAACTTCTCATTCTTCTTCTTCAAATCCTAAAACTTCTAATCCCCGACTTCATTTTTTTCTTCTTCTTCAATTGAAACCCTATGCTTCCTCATTACTTCTTCTTCTTCTTCTTCTCAATTGAAATCCTAAGTTCTCAAAATTTTTCGAGTCCCTCGTTTCATTTTTTCTTCTTCTTCTATGATTGAAACCCTAAGCTTCCCTATCTTTTTTCTTCTTCTTCTTTATAATTAGTCTTTTACATTCTCAAACCCATCATCTCTCTCTCTCTCTCTAAATAAACTCTAAATTTTTCAAATTCATAAAATCCCAATTAGAAATTAGGGATCTTAATATGATCTATCCATGGAAACCCAATCTAAGCCCAATTTACAACTTCGATGAGGAAGTCATCAAAATTTCTCTAAACTTACTAATAATGTTAAATTCTTTGTTTATGTGATTTTTGCAGTTCTCATGTGGATTTCTACTTATGGTTATTAGTAAACTTCATGAAGGATCATGCTTCCTATAGAGGTGCAAAATAAAATAAAATTTCTCCTCTATCTAAGGCTCCCAAGATCAAGTTGTTGAATTAACTAATCATATATACATGAATTAAAGCATAAGTAAAGAATTATCTCTTGTAGTGTAGAATTTAACCTTTATAGACGTTGAATTAACTGATCATATATATATGAATTAAAACACAAGTAAAGAATTACCTCTTATTGGGTAAAATTTAACCTTTATAAAAAAAAAGAGTATTTTAAGTGTTCGGCCTTTATCGATAATTCACGCAGTCCAAACACCCACACAATAAGCACTCAAAAGTAGTAGATCGCTAACTCCACCTTCTTTTGACTTGTTTAATGTTTTCTCTTTTAAAATCAATTTAGGAATATTTTGCGACAACCCTAATAGAGAGGGGAGAGGTGGTGTGTGTGTGTGTATGGGAGGAGAAAACTATTTTCTCTCTTTTATTTCTTTTTACCATACGAGTCCTAGCTTGTTCTCTCTCTTTACCGCACCTCCCTTTATATTTATAGGAGGTGTGTCTTCCTTGTCCTCTAAGGATAAGAAAGTAAAAGAAATGAGTCATCAAAGGACTTTTGGTTATTGCTTCCTAATCCTCTAAGGATTAGGAGTTATTATGCATGTGAGATTTTTGATCTTATCTTTTTAAACCTTGATCCTTATCCAATAAGGTTCATGTTTATCCTTTCATCAAAATATCTTGCATGCTTTTTAATTAAAACTATTGGCCTAATTAATTACTAATTAATTTGAACTATCTAAATAAATTAGGTTAAGACATTTTTAAGATGCCCACATAAGGAAATAATTTTTCAAACTATCCTTAAACCTAAATTAGGAAACTAATCCCATTTAGATAACTTACTTCCAAATTAGAAAACTGATTTCTAAAATAGGAAACTTCTATTTTTGAAAACTTTCTATTTTCGAAAACCTTTTTTCAAAATAAGAAACTTTCAACATTGGAAACATTTTCCAAAATCTTTGA